TATATATAGCTGAAGTCATGTGAAAAACATGGTGGAAATAGTAAATTTCCATGGTGGAATATACAGTAAGTCTTAAACAAATTCAGGTTTGGCCGAAATTTATTTAAACTCGTGAGATCACGTGATCACGCGGTTGTGTAATTTCGGCCGAAATCATGTAATAATGTGGTACTGAAATGCGTTTTAGGAACTTAGACTTGATCCATCATTCGATTGCCTAACCGATTATAAAATATTTAGTTAGTTATTACAGTATTAGGTTGAAATTAAGGATTACTTTTTAACTATCGCTATCGTTACACTCACAACTCTGATAAAGTAGCTACAAGGCATTCGCGCCAAATTAGAACAGAAGGTATGATCTCAGATTTACATGCAAAGTGAGTTAAATAATAATTATTCAGCTCAAATATGCCAAAGTTTGGTATTGGGTGATTTATGTTATTGAAATAATTAATTTCCAATATTTTATGAGAGAACATAGTAAAAAGGATCTAATATATTAAGCATTAAACTATTTTTTCGAAGCAATCTTCTAATAAAATTCTAACGAATGAAATTGTAATTCGATCAGATAAATTGAAGCTTACTTTCTGCTCAACTTGGAAAAAATAAGATCGGATTTAAAGTTTAAAGTTTTAAAAACTTGTTCAAATCCAGTAATCTTGTTATGCCAGTGTTGGACGATGACAATATCATAATGTCATGTGATATTTTCATATGATATAGAATCACATGAATCATATGCCATATGATATAGATCATGTTAATATATGATACTTCATATGATATTGTAATATGACAAATCATATAAGTCATGTCATTTGCATGATATAATCGTCCAACACTGTGTTATGCAACGATTGAAATCGATTAATTATGACTTATTTTGACTTATTTACAAGTCAGCTCTTCACTATAAATAACGAAAGGTTCACTATATTAAGAGTTCACTAGCTAAATAACTCAGATCATTCCGAAAATGATCAAGTCATTTGGTCATTAGTCATTTGCAAATGGCCCAAAATCTAAATGGCCAGAAAATAATCAGTTGTTTCAAGTCATTTGAAAAATAAGCAAATGACCCCAATCCTGTTAAATAGGGATGGATCGGTCCGTCCTGGTCGGTTTCGATCCCCTTTGAACCGAATTTATAGTATTTATTTGTTCAGTCATTCCGTCTTTCAGTCTTAAGATCTGTCTCACGACTTATGTTTCAAAACTCAATACTGGATTAAAATTTTTACTTATTAGCGGCAAATTTTTAATATGCATTACGTGACAATATGTTTATTGTGTATATGTACTGAAAGTCATGTGAAAAGCATGATATTTCATGGTTCTCTATTTTTATGTGTAAAGCTAATTTAATACTATAGATTAAATGCATAAATGCTTAAATATCTAATTTGCAAATTCTCTTTGAAGCCAACTTTTTAAACATAGAATTGCCCTTGTAAATTCGTTTTCTAGCCTATTTCTTGTTGAAATAGCGAGGACTGCTTGTTCCGAAGCTATACTGATAGCCTGTATTGTATGTTCAAACAATCTCTTGCGATTAAGCTTAGAATAGGGTATTCTTCTAAGGCAAAAAAAAAAAATTTTGTTATCGCTCATGATGGAAAGAGGTATGAAAATTTTATTTATTTTCTTTTCTTTATATTAATTTATCAATTTCTTCGTTAAGCCGTAATCAAGACCAGGACCGGACGATGAACCAAAAGAATAAGAATCTGTCTTCGTCCAGTCTCACTAAGATCGATCCATCCCTACCCTCAAGCCTAGGAATGTTGCGGTTCGTCCTGATCCGATCTTGGTCCTAAAGACCGTTCCTAGCAGAGGACCGCGGACTGGACCAGTGTTGGGGACTAATGAATATCATTGGTTGGTCCAACTGTTCCAGTCCAATTACCCAATTAATTATCTAAAATAATTGGTTAATCCAATTGTCCAGTTGTCCAATTGCCAACACTGGACTGGACCGTGGTCCAGGACCTGTCCATAAACCGATCTATTGGCTGGTTTTCAAAATAAGCTGTGGTTTTTAATGATTGCTACTAGGGATGTTATGTGGTCCGGTCTTAGACTAATATACCGCAGTTAGTCTTAAGACCCGGTCTGTACCTAAAAAAAATTGGTCTGCTCTAAGTCTTAAGACTGGACCGGTCTAGACTAGCAAAGTCTTAAGACTGAAGACCACAATAGACCAGACTAGACTTGGACCAAAATTGACCAGACTGGACTGTTAACATCCATAATCGCTACATATAAAAAGACCTACAGTTATCATCATAAATCCTGGTACAATTGAAAAATTGCCAATGACCGAATCGAGTCAAAATCAATAAGTTATTTATCTGGCAGCTTAGTGCTTTCGAGTTATTTGGCCAGAGTGATAACTTCGTTATTTGGTAGCTTACATAATCACTACCAAAAACTCGAGTCATTTGGCAAGCATAATCGTCCGGATAACACCGTTATTGTATGCTACGCAGCCAATAACTTGTTTATCTGGCAGCGAATTTGATATGTGGCATTTCTGGGCCGGGCCCTATCAAATTTCACAGCCAGATAATGAATTATTTTACAAGTTATTGGCTGCTTCGCATCCAACAACTATATAGTATTTATTAGGCTGATATCGGAAACTTATAGATCGGCAATTTTTTTTTTTTAGCCAATGATATCATTCTATAAGATATGGACCGGCCAGACCGGTCCTCAATTTAGGACCGAAAACTGGTTGGACTGGTCCAAAAGACTGGTGGTCCCTTGCAGGACCGTAATATTCCTATTCAAGCCTAAAATAGATAAATTTAATAAATTTCATACATTTATTTGCATTGTGATTGGTTATTTTTGGATAACACTAATCGTTGAAATAATTGTTTGGTTATCTACTTCTGTATTTAAAATTAATTAGCTGTGATACAAATAAATCATGTGATCTTATATATACAATTAACCAATAAAATTAAAATCGACATTCCTGAGTTATCGGGATTTTTGAAGAATCTCGGATGAAATTTGAAAAAGCTCGTAAAAATAATGCTATTGCAAAAGATAAAGGCTATTTGAAATCGCCAAACTTAATAAATTTATAAACTATTAAGTTAATCGACCTGTTAAAAAACCCCCCACGAAAACAAAAGAACATTTTATAAAATAAAATATATAAAAAAAAGTGTTAAATCGTTTATTAAACATATACAAAACTTCAAGCTTTGAAAAGAGTAAGCTTTCATCCTAAAATAACCCATTTTTGTTATCATTTGCATTCTCAAATTTTATTTTTTTAAGCATTATACGTATCTTGGAGGTGACTTAATAAGGTATAATATATTATGTGACATTTGCATTATCATTAACTGAATAAAGCAAATTCGTCGTGTCGCGAATCATTCAATGATTTTGTCCAATCAGAAATGAGTTTCACTTATGGCCAATAGAAAAGGTGGTCAAAATTAGTACGTATCATTTTTCATACCGTACTTTTTCGTCTTAATAAATTTCATAGTTGCGTGTAGTTCAAAATCATGAATTTCTTTCATAGGTAAGTTGCCTTGGCTTGCACGCTTTGCTAACGTGTGCCGTCAAACAAATGTACTTAAGGCTCTTTAATTATTGTACCTTCAGTAAAAAAACACAAAAAAGTAATCGCGCAAGAACAAACCAACGTCCTTTATTCCTTTCCCCTCCTTTTATTGATGCTTCTTTAGTAGATGGAAGTTTTAAAAAAATTGTTGTTTTACCAAAATATGTGGATGAAGATGAGTGGCTGGCTGTAAATGGTATGCTTTGCATTGTAATGTTTATTTTTCTATTATTTTTTATTTTTATTTATCTAATAATTTTTCAGTCTTCGAATTTTTTAATTATCTTAATATGTTCTATGGAACGGTTACCGATTTCTGTACACCCACTAATTGCCCTACTATGAGTGCTGGTCCAAAGTGAGTGTTAACTTTTACATTCTTTTCAATAATAAATAAGTTTCATATTTATTTATTTATTAATATTTTTTTTTAGCTTTGAACCTTATATCTGGACTGACCAAAATCAAAAGAAAAACACCAAATTACCTGCTCCTTCCTATATAGATATTGTAATGACTTGGATCCAAAACCTAGTTAATGATGAAAGCGTTTTTCCTACGAAAGCGGGTGTGTTTTATATTTTTAATAAATTGATTGTCTTGATTTTTCTATGATTATGAAAATAATTTTTTTTTTTTTTTCTTTTGATAGGTCGAGAGTTTCCAAAAGAATTTTCACTAATAGTTAGATCAATATTTAAGCAATGCTTTAGAGTTTTTGCACACATTTATTATCATCATTATGAACAAATTTTACATCTTCGTGAAGAAAAGCAATTTAATTCTTTATTTGCCCATTTTATTTCATTCGCTAAGGAATTCAATTTATTGTCAGATAAGAAAGAATTAGCTCCTTTGGAGGAATTGATTACTTATATGGAGAATAATGGTAGAATTAGTTAAGCCTTCTCACTTATGGCTTTATTTTAGATATTTTATTGATGTATCTGACAATCATATTTGTCAAATTATATACAGTAGATATATATTTTAAATATTATAAAAATTAATGTGTAGAAGGGATATTTAATTCACAAATAAAGATACATTACATTAAGGGAGATAAATGAACCCTTAAAGAAAATTCGTTTCATTCGAAATATATAAAAAAATTTAACAATTCAAAATTTTGATTCTTTAAACTTTTATTATTCATGAATCTTTATTGTAGAGAAATTCCATCTATACTTTGATTTTAATGAAAATCAGCGACTGATCATTTCCAATCTGTAGCCAATCGGCGAATTTGAAAGTCAAATCTACCGGAAATATTGACAGTCAATTGATTAGCATTTCGGATAATTCTAAAAAAGGTGGTGTTACTAAAACCGGACATTTTTAGGCCCAAAGTCCAAGCTTTTCTAAATCCTGGCCAAAATTAAAATTTAATTTTTATTTTGATCGGAATTAGAAAAGTTTAGGCTGTTTGGTGACTATCCGGAGTCCTATTTCGGTCAAGCGATAAAAACTTATCGGCTTGTTAGTCTAGTCGATAAAAGTTTGATCAGTCAAGATTTCCATCTGGAAAATACCAGTCGCATATATAAATTGTTAAAGTTATGTTGACAATTTTTTATACAATAAATACCCTAACTTAGAATTTCCGTTTACTCTGGACGGTAGTTCTTAAAATGGATTCTCATTTTTCATTCTGTGATTCAATACATGTTAGTAGCCGGCTCACTATTAAATCTTGGGCATATAAGTACTGTGCAAGTTCTTGATTTATCATTATGTAATAAAAGGTATATAGCGAATTTATCCCCCAGAGAAGTGAAGAAAAAAACCGTTCATTCTATATACGTATCTGTATCAGATATATCTGTTATTATGAATATGTATTACGTTACATTACACAAAACCATAGTACGTAGATGATGTAGGATGACATAATCAATCTTCACCATATTAGTAGCTATTGTTTGCATTCATATAGCTGATAATAACAGATAAAGGTTTTTCGGTTCTCGCTCCGTTATTTCTTTGTCGTCAACAAATTACTTATGTTTGCGGTTAATTTATAGAATTTTTCTTAATCAGCTTTAAAAAAATGACATCGGTCCGGTTGAGTAACAATTCTTCAAACTTGGACGTTGCTACACTTACAAGTTTTGGTTATAGACCTTGCGAAGAGGATAATGAAAATGTAATATCGAAATTATTTCAACGTGTAAAGAGTTCATTCGTCGTGTCTCCTGGCACCTCAAACTTAAACAACTCTACAGATCCTCTCGAAAACTCACCTACAAACTCTTCTCAAGATCCTGAGTTTGAACCTTCGAAAAGTACTTCGTCGCTCTTATTACCTGATAAAGATAATAAAGGCTTTAAGACGCCCGCACCTCCTGTCATTTCAATAGAACCTTTTCTTGGAAGTGCTCCACCAAAGCTTATGGTAGAATCTGTGGAAACTGTTCAAGAACCCGTTAATGGTACTATAAATGGTATCAATACTACTCCAAATTCAGTTAATGGTGTTAGTAACCATCAAGACAAACCCGAATTAGCATCTCAAGACACACATTCTATTCATAAAGATGTTTCGGATACTCGATCTGTTCATTCTATTCAAACTACTGCTTCTACTAGTAATAATTCTGGTTATTCTTTTAGTAAAGTTATCAGAAGATTACGTGGTGAAGGTGTAAATAAAGGCTATTGGATGGCTGATGATACTTGTAAAGAATGTTATGAATGTAAAGTTACTTTTACAATAGTCCGAAGAAAACATCATTGTCGTATATGTGGCAAGTAAAAATATACATATATGCTTTATTTTTTTTTTCCTTATGATTATTTTATTAACTTTTTCTTTAATAAAAGGTCAGATTTTTTGTTCTAAATGTGCTTCCAATATAATACCTGGTGAAAAGTTTAATTATGATGGTGCAATGCGTGTTTGTAATTTTTGTCGACAACTTATGGAAGATTATGGCGATAATTCTGATCCCGAACCTGATTATTGGACGCCTGAAAAAAATGATTTTCCGAATAACGCTCTTTC